TTTAACCATTCCAATCTTTTGTACTTGCTGTGTCACCAGCATGCACTTTGCACTCCCTCAGATTCCTGTGTCTTTGCAAGGGTCACTTTTCCTTCGCAAAGGGCATCTCCCCTGTATAAAGTAGCCGCTCCCAGGTCTTATCACAGACCTCTCCTCTAGAACAATCTTACTCATTTAAATTCATGTGCACCAAATGTCTCCTGGTCCGTGAAGGTGGAGACCAGGCTTGTCTGTATCACACTTGTATCCTGCAAAAGTTGACGAGCGCCTGACATTCTGCAGGTACTTAATATATATCAAGTGGACACTCTGCTCTTGGGATAGACTCAACTTGGTTATAGAACACTGGCTTTCTCCACAATTTGATTACACATTTATACAAATTATGTATTCATCCTCACCTCTATGCTTCCCCCACCCTGTCTCCTTCCTGATAATACCTCCCCAGGGTGAGCTGGGAGTGCATCTCCTCTGTTACTATTGTGTGGAACAGTTTGTATAAGATGGAAGCTACCTAGGCCTTGAAAGTGCGGAAGTACCTTCCTTAAATCCCCCTGAGCCTGTCGTTTTTCTCATGGGAACATTTTAAGTGACTGCCCAAGTTCCTTAGTAATCACAAGATTATTCAAGCTATTTCCTTTTGAGATTGTAAAGGAAAACACTCTTTAAAATTTTCCTTGGGATGTGACCATTTCACCTAAATTTCTAAGCTAAATTTGGTAGGAGTGGCTACCTCTGGGTGTTCTTGATCTATGTAATAGGTAGATAAATATATTCATATTATTCTCAAACATGTAAAATGAGGCAGTCACTTGAACTAATGAAGACACTATGCCTTAAACCAATGATTTAAAAAAACCAATTGTTCACGCTCAAGTTTTACTGGAAGCTCATAAATTTCTGAAAATGCAAAGGATGGAACAGATTTTAGTGCTCTGGGAGAGCATTTCCCAAAGACAGATCTTCTGGTTTTCTAGACCTAGATAGGAACCAGACCCTGAGTCCATATCTTTTTCAAGCTCAGATTCTGACAGAAAACACTCGATCTTTGCCATCCCCCCAGGCTGGGTTCTGGCCTTCCAGCCCACAGAGTATTAGAACCCTTCTTTGTCCAGGAGCGGGACAAGAGCAGGGTCCCAGGAACAGTTTTCTTCCCAAGCAAGGGGCACCAGACAGGACAGCTCAAAGGGCATTCTAGAAGAGATCAAAGCATAATGAACTAAACAGTGCTTTGAGACTTAAGACAGTCCCGTGGCCTGATGGGATCCTCTGCAAGTGAAATTGCCACATGATTTATTACATATATATCTGGGTCATTACTAGACCAAAAGGAGAGGAATTCCTGGATAAATGCAGGTGGAAAGGCACCATCTAGTTTTTGGATATCATTAGCTGTCACAAAGTTTGGAATTAATCGAGACATGTCGCAAATGGTAAAATATTTGCAGGCAGGGAGAGAGTGGGGATGCCAGAACCTGTGAATTTATGCCAGCTGAGCATCACAGCAGAGCATCTCTGTGGAGGCGGCTGACAAATGGAGTCACTATTTTGCCAACTCGAGGAAAGCTTTACACAATTGTATCAAAATTGTTTCTATGCAAACAATTGTTTTTTTTTCCTTTTAAAAGGGTCCTTACCTCAAATAACTGCAATTGAGTACTTTCCAGGTAAGCACAAACCCAGATATTAATCTCAAACTCTTAAAAGGCATTTCTGTTGGAACGGCAATGGAGATCATAGGTGTGTTATTCTCTTTTCACTCTTCTTATTTTCTCTATCAGTTTTTTTTTAATTCAAAAACATAGCTTTAGGTTTGGTGGTAGAAAGAGCAGAAGGACTCGGAGGTGTATTTGAAACAACACTGGAAGGGAGGTAGGTGGAGGCAGACAAAAAGGAGAGATGGAAGGCAACACATTTACCATCTATAGGCAACATTTACAGGCTTCATTTGTACCCAGAGGAAATGGAATGAGGCATCTACTTAAGAAAGTTACATGTGAAATTTGATGGGACTAAGACGGCTCAGATCAGAAAGGTCCTTGATGCTCACTACACCAAATGGCAGAGCTATATCTCCAGAACCCACACAGTGAAGAGCCAACTTCTTCAGGTTGTCCTCTGAGGTCCGTCTCAGTGCCTCAGCGCCGTGTCACGTGTACATCCTTATACACAAGAATGTTTTAAAAATTATAGGGGGGCATCACAGGGAGGAGGGGGCTGTGATCAGGAAAGTGAATAAATAAATAATGGGAATAATTAATGGGAAAAAATTGAGCTCTACTCTTCTATCCCAATTTATGTAGGATATATTCTAGAAATGTCTTATCCATATACTTTATTAGAACCATAAGGGTATACTTCATCTGAACCTTACTCATAATATGGATTTTTCTGGAAAATGGAATCAAGTCAAACGATTAAGATTTTTTTTTTGAATTACCTATTTGCCTCCTGTGTGTATATGGATGGGGGAATTACATGTCAGGGAACACATATGGATTTCAAAGGACAATTCGTAGGGAGCTCTCCTTCCATCATGTAAATTTCTGGGTTCATTATTCAGATCTCGGGCTTGGGCACAAGTGCCTTTACCCATGGAAATGTTTCTTTGGTTCTACATCATACTATTTTTAAGTTTTAAAACCCAAAACTAAACCTATAACAACAACAACAACAACAAAACTGAAACAAAACAAAAACTCCAAACCGAAACAAAACAAAATCAGTTAAAGCCACAGGACAGTTGAATTAAGTCATTTTTCAAGAATTCCAGTACCCAGAAGATTCTGTACAATACTCTGAAAAAAAAAAGTCATCAATGGCAACGCTTTATATTTAGAAGTGTCTTCAGGCTGAGGTAGGCTGCTTCAGGCAGATTATGATAATTTTGCAGTAATTATGTTTTATTTGTAAAAGCTTCTGAGGGACAGGGGGCAATCAATCTCCTAGTGATCCATAGTTTACCTCTGGACCGCAATGACTCATCTTTCCGCCCTTCTAGGTGGAAACTGGAGTACAATCTTTCCTACCTGCCCTCTAACCTCCACCCATCCTGTCGTCTCTCAAGGTTACTGTTGTCCCAGTTTACAGTGGAGGTTTATTCCCCCACCAGCTAAAGAAAAGTATATAAACCAACGCAGATCAAACTTAAAAGTAACTCTCAACGTCCAAAAACGTTTTCCGTTGCGATCAAGTTCTTTGAATTCGTCTCTTCCTCTTTAAAGTCAAGGGACTCGACAAGTATAGTACTAGAAATTAAAATAAAGCGTCCACCCCTCCCCCAGCAGCCCTGTCTCAGAGGGTGTAAGCAGAGGTGGAAACTCCACAAGCTTAGGGCATCTGCCGGGCGGGAGGTGGGGGCGGGGATCATGGAAACCTAGTGGCCTTGTCCAAATCCAGGACACCAGGGAAGGTTGCTGAGAGATATACACTGAAGCCTCTTCAGTGACCCCGGGCCCAGAAAGATTTATTACATCCTCCTTCAGGGAGAAACCACAAACCAGCTGGAATGGGCTAGTACAAGGGCCGAAGCTTCAGAACTGTGTTCCCGCTGCACACAGCGCTGTTGGGCGGTGCTGCTCGCGTTCTAGGAGGGGACACCAGTGCTGACCGCTGGGGACGAACAGAGCGTACGCCGGGGGTATTTCTGCCCAAACTTTTATCACCAACTCTTCTTCAGAGCGAATCCTGGGAGCCGAGTCGTACAGTCACCGAGAACCCAAGTCTCCGGCTGTGCAGGAGAGCTGGGAACCATACGCCTGCGCCGCGCCCCAGGCGCACCTAGAGCCCTGTTCTGTGACTAGCGGCTGGAGGCCCTAGCAGCGCCGCCTTGAACCGGGTCGCATCTCCAGCCCCTAAGGAGGTGGCGGCGCGAGTCTGGAGCTGCGAGGAGGGCGGGTGTGGGACAGGCAGAGGAGGAGGGGAGCGCGGCGAAGGGGAGGAGCCGGGGCGACAGACGGCGGCGCGCACCAACCCCGAGCGGGCTGGCAGGAGCCGCGCAGAGGCCGGCCCGAGCGCGTTGCAGGCGCCCGGCGTAGGGGGAGTCGGGTAGCAGCATCCTCCCGGGCGCCGCTTTAGTGCGGTCGCAGCGGGGGTTTCCTCTGCCTCCAGACCTCGTAGGGCAGAAGCGGACGGTGACGCAGGGGGTCCCGCTCTTTTGCCTCCAGCTACGTGTACAGAGTCCTTCTGGACCAGTTTGCGGCCACGGAGCGCCGGGGCTCGCCTGAGTCGCCCACCCGGACATCCTCCGGGTGATGGAAGAAGCAGCCGCCGCCGCGGGGCCGCGCTGCACCCTATCCGCCGCCGCTGGAGGGATGGGAAGGTTCACTATGTGGAGGCCGAGAGAGAGCGATGGAGAACAGAATAGCCTGGAGCTGGGACGTATATAAGCCACCCCCCACTTTCGACTCCTGCCTGCTTCGTACCCCAGAGCCGGGAGGGAAGCTGCGGTCCCGAGAGACTGGAGGAGACGTCGCTGCGCTCGGTGGAGCGCAGAGCTGGGCTCCGGGCCCGGTGAAAGTTTCCCCTCCCGGGGTGCAGGGCGCCCGCTGCTGGAAAACTCTGCCTAGGGCTAGGGCAGCGGAGTCCAGCGGCTCCTTCGAAGGCTTGGGGACCCCTAGCAGAAGAGAACCAGAGAGAAACCGAGGAGAGAGCTAGCCGGACAGTCCGCCGGTCGGGGATCCGGGGACGCTCCGAGGCGCACCCTCCGCTCCAGGTGAGTGGAGGAGCCCGCAGACCAGAGGGTGGGCGTTACTCAGGCGGATGGGGGCATCTGGACGGGAGATTGGGCTCACCCATTCACTCCGCTTCCCCTCGCAGGTTCTTCTCGGAGCCGCTGCCATGGGAGAGCCAGCCCTGGGCGCCGGGGACCAGCCGCCTCTGCCGCCGCGCCCGCCTCGGATCGGCGGCCCCAGTCCCGGCGCCCGCAGCCGGCCTGCAGCGTCCCCCTCCCGGGCTGCAGGGCCGCCTCCGCCGCGCCGCCGGCCCCGGCTGTGCCTGTGATGAGTCGCAGCTCGCCACGAGCTCTGCCCCCGGGCGCGCTTCCCCGGCCGCTGCCGGCCGCGCCTGCCGCCGTGCAGCGGGCCCTGCTCCCGCCGTGGCCCCGGCGCGCAGGACGTCGCTGGCCTGCGTCCCCGCTCGGGATGAAGGTGTTTCGCAGGAAGGCGCTGGTGCTGTGCGCGGGCTATGCACTGCTGCTGGTGCTCACGATGCTCAACCTCCTGGACTACAAGTGGCATAAAGAGCCGCTGCAGCAGTGCAACCCCGACGGGCCTCTGGGTGCCGCGGTGGGGGCGGCCGGGCCCGGTTGGGGACGGCCGGGGTCGCCTCCTGCAGCGCCACCCCGCGCTCACTCTCGCATGGACCCCCGCACCCCGTACCGCCCTCCTGCCGCCGGCGTGGGGGCAGTTCCCGCAGCCGCGGCTGGGAGTGTAGGAGCTGCGGCCTCTTTGGGCAATGCTACTCGAGGCACCAGGGGTGGAGGGGACAAGCGGCAGTTGGTGTATGTGTTCACCACGTGGCGCTCGGGCTCGTCCTTCTTCGGTGAGCTCTTCAACCAGAACCCTGAGGTGTTCTTCCTCTACGAGCCTGTGTGGCACGTGTGGCAAAAACTGTACCCCGGGGACGCGGTTTCCCTGCAGGGGGCAGCGCGGGACATGCTGAGCGCTCTCTACCGCTGCGATCTTTCGGTTTTTCAGCTGTATAGCCCCGCAGGCAGTGGGGGGCGCAACCTCACTACTCTGGGCATTTTTGGGGCAGCCACTAACAAGGTGGTATGCTCCTCGCCACTCTGTCCTGCCTACCGCAAAGAGGTCGTCGGACTGGTGGACGACCGCGTGTGCAAAAAGTGCCCACCTCAACGCCTGGCACGCTTCGAGGAGGAGTGCCGCAAGTACCGCACGCTGGTCATCAAGGGCGTGCGGGTCTTCGACGTGGCTGTGTTGGCGCCGCTGCTTAAAGATCCAGCCTTGGACCTCAAGGTCATCCACCTAGTGCGTGATCCTCGTGCTGTTGCCAGCTCCCGCATCCGCTCGCGTCATGGTCTCATCCGTGAAAGCCTACAGGTGGTGCGAAGCCGGGATCCAAGAGCCCACCGCATGCCCTTCCTGGAGGCCGCCGGCCACAAGCTGGGTGCCAAGAAGGAGGGTATAGGTGGCCCAGCAGATTACCATGCTCTGGGTGCAATGGAGGTCATCTGCAACAGTATGGCCAAAACGCTACAGACAGCCCTGCAGCCTCCTGACTGGCTGCAGGGACATTACTTAGTGGTGAGGTACGAGGATCTGGTGGGAGATCCCGTTAAGACCCTACGGAGGGTGTACGACTTTGTGGGGCTGCTCGTGAGTCCCGAAATGGAGCAGTTTGCCCTGAACATGACCAGTGGTTCGGGCTCCTCTTCCAAGCCTTTCGTGGTGTCAGCTCGCAATGCCACTCAGGCCGCCAATGCCTGGCGGACGGCGCTCACCTTCCAGCAGATCAAACAGGTGGAGGAGTTTTGCTACCAGCCCATGGCAGTGCTGGGCTATGAGCGGGTAAACAGTCCTGAGGAGGTCAAAGACCTCAGCAAGACGTTACTCAGGAAGCCCCGGCTTTGAGAAGGGTTCCCAAGAGATCTGACACCCTCCGGAGACACCCACAAAGAGGATGGTGTTGTGTTTAAACAAACACAGCCCAGACCCAAGCTGAGGAAGCCCACATATTCTATTATAGATATATAATATAAATAACCACACAGGCACTTGCTGTCAACGTTTTGAGTCAGTGAATTTCAAGGAACAGCCTCAGCTCACGCGCATGCGTGCACACACACCTCAGAAAAGGCAAGACTTGAAAGTTCTGACCAATTGCCCTACGTACCCTGTCTCTTCCCCCTCTCTCCTTCCCATCCTCTTTCCCTCCTCCCTTCCATATTGAAGTGGAATGTTGATAAATCGAGTTCCAGTAACCCAAATCTTGTTTACAAAATTTTCGTGGTATCTGTGAATGTGTAAGAGTCATTTGGGTGTGGGATGGGGTGGGTGGAGAAGGGGGAAGTGGCCCCCCAAGCAGGAAGCTCCCACTGGGCTGGTAAACTGAGGAGGCAGTCTTCAAAAGTAGACTTTTGTGTCAGCAAAGGTTATATGTGAGTATTAATAAAGAAGATAATAAATAATATTCTTTTTTTTTAATATTTGCCTCCATTACTCTGGATTTACCAGTGTTACCTGTCTTTGTAGCTTCAGGTGGACTCTATTCCCCACCTCTCCCTGCGGTTCCAGCCATCTACTTGCTAAGCTGGGAGAAGCCTCTGCCTTCATAATAACTGGGAATTGTTTTCTCATATGTAGATCATTGCCTGCCAGGTGCCCAGGAATGGAACAAATCTACAGGCAAAACCAAGCAGGGCAGAGAAGAAAGAGCACACACTACCCTCCTGTTCAGCTTTGAGTACGGAAAGGAAGGAAGGAGCCCTGGAGAGTTGGAGGCATTCGGTTTTGATTACTACTGTATTGAGTTGAGACAGGGTACCTCGAAGCAGATACTGGTGTTTTTGTTCTGATGTTGGTTCAGGAAAGAAGGAAAAAAAAAAAAGGAAAATTTGAAAGCATATTTAAAAAAAAAAGTTTTGATGACTAGAATACAGTTTTCAAAATGAAGTGAACACTTTTGGTGGTGGTAGCATCAACTTCTGTTTGTTCGCGGGATAAGAGACGTCTGTCTGGAGTGTTTTTGTCTATGACACAGTAATCAGAGGCATATGAAAGCGAACAAGTTTTAACTGAGGACTGGAGGGGCACCCATAGGTTTTCTTTCTCCTCTGATCCATCCAAATTAATAATATTAAAGGGCAGGAATTTGAACTAGTTTACTTGGGACTTGGGGTGTCTGGGGGATATGATGTTCTCTTTATTTCCTAAAGGCAGATTTGCGAAACAAAGTACATATTGCAGACAATATACGGCTTCAGCTAAGAACGTTTAGATACTAAAATGATCACGAGGAAGATTAGATGCGGGTTAGTGTGTAAGATTTTGAAATTTGCTATTTTTTTCAGTGAGAAAACCATTGAACTTCCCAGCAGTGGTAATGATTCTCCTATGTCCTGAACTCATATTGTGCTGACCTGTTCTGTATGTGTCGTGTTACAATAAGAAATTATGAAGCCCAAATAGGAAAAGCAGACAATATAGTTGTATATTGTATATTATATTAAACACGGTACAAGCCTAGTATCCTTGCAGCTTTATTTTAATGTAATTTATTACAAGATTTGGGAAAGCTAACAAACGTGGGTTAAATGCTGAGGACTTCTTCTTCTTTTTTTTTTTTTTTTTTAAAAAAAAAGATAATATGTACATAGGAAATGTTTTAACACAAGGTGATTCTTGAGTCTAATTATCATTATAATGTGAAATCCAAGATAAAGAAGCACTTTTTTTTTTTAAAAAAAAAAGTGTATTAGAATGGTTATTTCTTAGTTTACTAAAATTGTTTCCCTTGTCTTGTTATTGAGCTAGACTTGCTCCTGTAACGCTGATCAAGATATCCATGGTATTTTTATGGTAGTGCCTTCCACAGCAGGGGAATCTTTGTAAGACGTGTAATTTAAGAATCCTTTAAAATGAAATGAACAAAATAAATATTAATGCTGAGTGACTAAAGACGAAGAAGGCATAGCAGCACGTTAAGGTAGTGTCATTAAAAGACAATGACTCCGGATAAAATAACCATTTAAAAACAAATTTTATATGACACTGGAATCAGCTCTTAGCAGCCACAGTGAGATTCATTTCTTGTGGAGCAAAAGATTTTTAAGCAGTTGGCTTCCTTCCTCTCCAGTGTATCCACACACTCGGATGGCACTAGAATAGAATTATGTATTTGTATCTTGTATTTAAGACTTATTAGATGCCGTACAGGGCCTTGAGGCTTGCAGAGCCTTTGTGGCCTCTGCTAAGAGAAAATTCTCAGCTACCACCAACAGCTCTCCCTGCTTCTGTTTGCAGAGTTTCTGTCTGTAATTTTCGTGTGTGTGTGTGTGTGTGTGTGTGTGTGTGTGTGTGTGTGTTTAGTAGCTGCCTTCTTTCCACTCCGCCACTCCTGGGCTCTGCAATTTGAAAAGGTGAATTGTTGCTCCTGGAGATTTGTACCTAGCTGTCTTCTAGGAAAGTGAGATGGGTGTTGTTCCTACCAGAGGCTGAGATACGCATATCAGTGACATTTAGCTGCCAGAGCTTGGGAGAAGGGGGAAGCATTTTTGGCGTTAACAAGCTCTTGTCAGCCCGTGGTGCAAGCCGACCTGTGCCATGACAAACTGCAACAGAACTGTGACCATTTCTGAGGCAGTGTGTATGAAAGCCAGCCTTTCACATTTCCTAACCTGGCAGGATGTCCATCAGCGGGAGGAGATATTCCTCAGAGCAGTTTATCTATTCGATTCTGTTTGTAAGTTCTGCTTTTCCGGTAGCATGCTTGGCTCGGCCCTTAGACTTTGGAATGTATTTGTTAATTAGAAAGTTCCATTTAGAAAACAAAGTCCAGACAGTACATTTAGTCAACAATTTAAGAATTTGGACCAAGACAGAGACACAAGCTGGTGCTTGAGTTTCAGGAATTTCAGAGCCAATCAAAGGCTGCATTTACACTGATCCTGAGTACAGGGACAGGAGCAAATTGGTGCCCTTCAGTATCTACACACAATGAGTGCTTGGTAAATATTTGTTAAACAAGTGAATGAAATGTGTAACAAATACTGAAAATGTTTAGAGGGAAAGAAAGATTGTGTTAACTTAGAAAGAGAAAGTGCCATGCTTCTGGGTGAGGTTGTGGTCCATTGGCTCTGTGAGGATCCGTGGAGCAAGCAATGATGTGCGTCTGCAGCGTTTCCAAGGTGACACAGATCTTTAATTCCCACTAAGGAATTAGAAAGAAATGCAGAATTTATTTATGTGGCGAGACAAAAATTTAAAAATAAAGAAACTTTCAGTGTTAGTTTTCTAAACCATACCAACACAAAAGGGCAGGGATCAGACATAACTGTGATTCAAAATTGCCCAGGTGCCTAGAGGTGGTCTGTAAAATTCGTTTTTGAAGAAACAATGTGATGTTTACTGTTTTGAGTGCTGTGAATGTGTAGACTGAAGACCTGTGGTGTAGACTGTGGTCAAGTGGAGCAATGGCTACTGTCAGAAAGTCCATCCTGCTGTGGATACTGAGTGACACAAGTTCTGTTCAAGGTTGTTTTTTTTTTTTTTTTTTTTGGTCATACACTGTTTAGTTGTGGCTGGATTCTGCTATTGAATTGAAATGAATGTGAATTTGGGTGAAGCTATGAAGTTAATATTCCCTGGGAACTGAGCAATTAAATAAAGATCATCTTTGAAACACAGTCTCTAGACATGAATTCAGGGGAAGCAAGAGAGAAATGAGATGTGTTAGTCATAGCAGATCAGGGTGTTGTGTCTCCTGCCACCCTTCACCAACACACAGCCCCATGCAATGCTCCAGACTTGCTCTGGATCGTTTCTGAATTGTCATTGAGGGGTATTCACAAAAAGATCGCCTTCCTTTTATTTATTTATTTTATTTTATTTTTTTGGTGCTGAGAATTGAACCCAGCATGGCCAAGGCAAATGCTCTATCATGAAGACAACACACACACACACACACACACACACACACACACACACACACACACACA